TTAGAGAGAGAGAGCACAAGCAGGGGGAGCAGCAGAGGGAGAGGGAGAAGCAGGTTCCCCGCTGAGCAGGGAGCCCGATGTGGGGCTCAATCCCAGGACCCTGGGATTATGACCTGAGCTGAAGGCAGACACTTAACAACTGAGCCACCCAGGTGCCCTCTACCAAACATTTAAAGAAGAAATAATACCTATTGTACTGAAGCTGTTTCAAAAAATAGAAATAGTAGGGGGTGCCTGGGTGGCTTCCAAACTTCCAAACTCATTCAGTGAGGCCTTGATCCCAAAACCAGACAAAGACCCCATGAAAAAGGAGAATTACAGACCAATGTCCCTGATGAACATGGATGCCAGAATATTCCTAGCCAATAGGATCCAACAGTACATTTTTAAAAGGATTATTCATCATGACCGGGTGGGATTTATTCCTGGAATGCAAGGGTGGTTCATCTTTCAGAAATCAGTGTGATAGAGCACATTAATAAAAGAAAAGACAAAAACCACATGATCCTTTCAATTGATGCAGAAAAAGCACTTGATAAAATACAGCATCCTCTCCTGATTAAATCTCTTCAAACTATAGGCTATAGAGGAACATACCTCAATACCATAAAAGCCATCTATGAAAAGCCCACAGCGAATATCATTCTCAATGGGGAAAAACTGAGAGCTTTTCCCCTAAGGTCAGGAACACGACAAGGATGCCTATTCTCATCATTATTGTTCAACGTAGTACTAGAAGTCCTAGCCTCAGCAATCAGACAACAAAAAGAAATAAAAGACATTCAAATTGGCAAAGAAATCAACTTACCTCTCAAGTTGAAACAGTTAACTTGAATTAAGTTGAGATAGTCGCCTCCAGCCTTCTAGAGTTTGAGTGTGATACATACACATAAACTTGATTTTTCAAACATTGCTAAAAATAATCTTTGATGAGAAATCTGCAGCTAACTTTTGAGTCATATTTGATGCAGTTATCACCTATTTGATAGATGTGAGATACTTGCTGTCATAATTTTCAATTTGTGGCCAGATTTAGTACACCTATAGTAAAAAGGGAAATTAACCTGATGTAGAAGTTTAATGTCGGTTATTAGAGATGGATATAAGATTACCATGTTGAAAGATTGCAAATTATTCTCCATGTCCAGTATGAAACTTTTGTCATTAGTTTTTTTGTTTTCATTATTTAAAAGTTATAAACTTTTCAAACATTTGCTTTAAAGATTTTTTTTTAATGTAATCTCTACCCCCAATTTGGGGCTTGAACTCATGACTCCAGTATCAATGCTATACTGACTGAGCCAGCCAGCCTCCCCTCAAACATTTGCTTTAAATTGTTAATCCCAGCTGAACTGCCACTAAATGGTCATTTTGAATTTTCTTTTAAAGCAAAGTTAGAATACTTTCTAGAGATACCATTTAATTAGTTACCTTGGATAAGGCACTTGTGTTTTTTTTTTTTAAGATTTATTTATTTATTTATTTGAGAGAGAATAAGGGAGAAAGAGAGCAAGCTAGCCAGTGGGGGAAGGGGCAGAGGGAGAGAATCTCAAGCAGACTCCCCACTGAGCATGGAGCCTGACATGGGGCTCAGTCTCTTGACCCAAAAGATCACGACCTGATCCAAAACCAAGAGTCAGACACCCAACTAACTGAGCCATCCAGGTGCCCCGACACTTAAATTTTCTGACCTTTGATTTCCCCATTTGTAAAATTGGCACCATGGTAATAAAAGGTGATTGTATAATAATTGATTTTTCTTCATTTTATCTTAGCAACTTCCTTGCGAAGTAGATTAGTTATTATTTTTTACATTCATGGGAAAGATAAATTACTTGCCCAAGTAAGTGGCAGTTGTTAGGATTTAACACCAAGTCCTGTGATTCTGTGTCCATTGCTATTGCCAGTATTTCATTTTAAACATGTTACAGGTTTTTTGATTTTTTTTTTCCCCTGGGTTTCAGTAGCACATAGAATACTAGTTTGTAGTATTTAACGTGGGTTCATAATGAAAAGCTTATTCTCTTATTTTCAGAAAACCTGTGGTAGGTTAGTACATACTACCACTTATCCCATGCTTTTATCTAAAGTTCATATTGATTGTAGATTTTTACGTAAAAAAAAAAAATGGTCATGTAAAAGGATTAAAGCGTAAGCAGTGGAAGAGAACAACAATAATATAGCAGTTAACTTAGTGAACTGCTAATTTGGCTCTGGTCTGTCTTCCTCAGTGGTTTTCTTTGCTTGTAGGTACTTTGGAAAGCTCACCACAGCAGTAACAAGTTCTCTCAGCTATGTTTGATTTTGTTTGTGGCATGGTCTGTCTGTTTCAGAAATAGATGAATTGACAGTGAGTGCTCTTTGTACTTCAGTTATCAAATCATTTTCCTAGTCATTGGGTTGCAGATGTCTCCTTATCAGGAGGTTTAAGGTAACCTCTTAAAAATGCTGCTCTGATTCTGAATTGCTGCATGTTGTGGTAAAGATAAGTTTTTAAAAGTATAGCTATAAACCATACTAGTAAATACTTCTATAAATTTCTTTTTAATACTTTGAGTTACCCTGCCATATATATATTCAAAATATGATATTGTTCTGCCATTTTTTGACAGACCCCATATCCCTCTGGACAGAATGCAGGTCCAACCACGTTGGTATACCCTCAAGCCCCTCAGACAATGAATTCACAACCTCAAACCCGTTCTCCGGTAAGTACGCAGAAGCTTGTTCTAGATAATGTTCTCCATTTAAGTTTGTGTTTTTAGGAGCTTGGGTTCCTTTGGCTAAAATTTTTACTTGTTTTTGGAAACTTGTTCCAAGGACAATTTATTTTATTATGATTTATTATTATTATTATTGATTAGCACTGCATTTTCAGACTTTTAATATAGGAATAATTTAAATTTATTGAGAGAAAGAAATGGAGCTTTTTATCTTCTTTTACTTTTCTGTGGCATGATTTTTTTTTAAATCTGGTTGCATTCAAGTTCATTTCAACTCTTAATTTGTTGTACTGTTCACAATTCAGGAGGAGAGTAAAGCACAGTGATTTTAAAAGTAAATTAAATTTCATTAATTAGACTCTCAAATTTCAGTGGTTTGGGAAGTAAATTTCTGAATTGGTGTCACTAGATCAGTTCTAATCATTTGACAGTTTGGACATATGCATGACATACACCAATGGTGTATTCATTTTTTCAGATGGTAAATAAATTGTCATACAAATTAAAATGCTATCATCCTCTTTACTCATCCTTTACATGGATTGCAATAAATATTGCAAAGACTGAGAATTTACTCAAGGTTCATCCTTCTGCTTCACAAAAGTATACAGTTGCTTCAGCTGTCCATTCCTTAGAACGTCGTTTCCTGCCCTGCATGACTAGTTTTTGCCAGAAGGTGCTTTTGTAACATCTCACATTGTATCTCACATTCCTACTTGTATCTCAGCTCTGTGTTTTCCTCAGTATAGGTATCTTTGTTTGGTTCCCTACCCCTGCTTTTTTGCCTGTAGTATAGGGGTATTTCATTGCATTAGCTCCTGTTCATTTGGTTTTATGCATGAACTGAGAAATGTTGAAATGTATGAAAGATTGCTCAAAGAACTAGAGATCATAGACTGCACCAAAATGTAATCTCTTTCTTACCCTCTTCCTGTCTTCCTTTTCCCTATTGCCCTCTTCTCCAGTACCTGTTCTTAGATCCTGGTTCTCCCCAGGGGGTGGAAGAACCTTTCTAAAGAGGTGGGACTTTGGTCCTAGTTGCCTGTATGCTTGTCTTTTTTTTTTTCTGAAATGATCAACAAGATGTCTGATGCAAGTTGTGTTCTGAGAGTGGTTTGGGGATGTGGATACTTGACTACTTGGATTGGGCCTGAGATCTCACCAGATTAATTTAGATAGGCCCTGCTTCTAGTCATTAAACATGGGATATTATGGTAAGCTCTTATTACAAAGAATTCTATGGCCCTCTTCACCCCCATCCCCCTTTTATAATTATTGAAAGAAAAGAAATTTACATGGTTAGAACTGGCGCAAAACCTGACTGAAGAGCTGCATCTCTAAACCAGTTTTTTTGACAGCCCAGCAGAACAGTGCCAATACATTGCACAGACAACTGGAAGAGGAGGAAGGTTTTGGAACAGACTCCCGTTTACAGGTCCTTGGCTGGAAGAGGCTGGATAAAATACTGCATTGTAAGCAATATAACAAACTGTACTTCTTGCAGGCAGTGGTGCCTCTGGCACTCATTATTTTTGACCACATCCATTTATTGGCTGATGAACAGAAATGCTTTGATTGCTTCTTCTCTGAAAGTCTAACCTAGCATGGCAGTTTCTGCCAGGCATACTGGGGAAAAGAATAACAAATTGGGTGGGTCTTCTTGATTGGGAATTAGACAGGAGTAATTTGGGGTTTAGATTTTTCTTTATTTTAAACTCGAAGAGGGATATCCCTTTCAGATAAATTTGATTTTAAAAGATAAATTTCAAGGCTTCTTTTTCCCTCTTTCCATTTTATAATTGAATATCAAAGAGGAAATTGTCTGTAGTTGTCAGCCATTTTTCTGTGGTCATAAACTCTTCAGATACTATCCTCTATGCAATTTTTGCCATCTGCTCTGCTAGTGACCATTATCACCCCCATTACTAAAAACCACACACATAACATTCCATTACATATCCCAAAACAAGTGCAAGACTAGCAAACCCTAGACTACTCTTGCTTGTTGTTTTGGGTCCAGTTTTCTTTATTTCATTTGTGTTGGTGCTGGGAGGGTGAAGTTGGGATATGAAATTTGACAGGATTGCATTTTCTTTCTACATCCCAAGTTGCCATAGTCTAGTCTCATCCATCCCACAGCTATCCCAAGTGGTGAGGAGAGGTAAGCTGTTGCACTAAGGAAGGGACCCTTCCCATGGCTTTGTAGAGCAGCTAAAGCTTACTCCATTCTATTTCTGCATTAATGGGCCATTGGCAATTGCACAGTTTAGGCTATTCTGTTCTTCCCTGGACAGCTGCCTTTGCAATCCAAGTGGCTTCAAGTGGCCCCCTCCCTCTTTCAGGTTATCTTTGTGTCCATATTTCTATTTGATGTATAGTATCTTAGTTAAATTCATATTATTGAAAATCTTGTTTAAAAGGAAAAAGGTACTGATTAGCTACCTATCTGTTCATTTTCTGGTTATGCTGGAACTCTTTAAACAATAGTTTATTTTTAAATAGCCTCCAAAATACCTCTTAAATGCCTAATTGAAAGAGGGGGAACTGTTTGGCTTTTGCAGTAACCTGTATCCACTGGTTATATTTTGTGGTGCTAAGTGCCAAAGATACATCAGTGTTATGTTGTCCCTGCCCTGTTGCCAACTGTGCCCAGAAGAGTGAGTGAGTGGGTGGGTGGCATTAACATTGGATCCAAGTTCACAGAAGGCTGCTTTCCTTAATATCTACAGTCCTCACCATCTTAAAGACCCCTTAAAAAAAAAAAGAAATGAAAGTTTCTATTTTTAATATGAGCCAGCAGCGACTACAGTTTGTTCTGTTGCTTACAGTTACCCATAGGATTAAGACTATTGTCATTCCAAGTGGAAAGCTCAATAGCCAATGGTGACTAGTGCAAAATAGACTAGGGTACTTTCCCACTAACTTGTGTTTTGTTTTGTTTAAGTATATTTGTAATTTTATAAGGTACTCCTCTTGCTCATAGAAAGTTCTCTTTTGACTGGAATCTTCCAAATATATGAAGTTGCAACTTTTATTTTAGAGCCTTAGAAATGGGACCTTTCTGTGGAACAGTGATAAGACAGGTACTGCTGTACTCAGGTTAATTTTTTAACATGGCCCTTCTCTCCCATTTTCTTCAAAAGTGTCATGAAGAAACATCTCACTTCCACTCCCTACTTTCATACCACGTGGGTGGTATTGCCTATTCTTGAAACTTGATGTCCATAGTAGAGGTAGGATCTGTTTTCTTTTCATAATTGGAAAACTGAAAATAGAAGACCGCAGTTTCTGTGACGAGAAAACGTTCTACAAGAAGTAAAGCTGCCCTTATCATCATTCTGAAAAACTCTTTTATAGTAGTTAGCAAATATAATGGCTGACCTAACACACTATAATCACACAGGTCATCAAGAGCTCATTAATTTATACTGAATAACTTTGAATTGTGTTTAAGACACATTTCATTACTTGAAAAATAGGTGATGTTTTAGCTTCTAAGGTGACTTCTTAATCTTCTTAGGTGAATTCTTAATAAAGCGGTCTTCAACCATCTGCTACATTGTGATGTGCTCCACTGCAATTTTTTGAAAATTATTTATATGAAATAACGGCAGTTGGGGAAATAATTCCACATCTTTTGCACGTAACTTAAATTCTGAGTATGAGGGATTGTTTCTTCGTTAATCTTCAGTCCGATTCACTGGCAGTGATGAGTTGATGGAAGGAAGGCTCTCTAGGAAATAACTGAAGATGTATTTTAGTTTCTTAAGTTTATTACATTAAAGCCTTGTGTGGTTTGCGTTCAAAACTGCTTTGTAAATATTTTCTTCTCACTATTAAAGAGGGTGGTTAAATTTTGATAGTTAATGTATTAGTAGCCAGTACATGACACTGTGTCCCGAGTAGTTTTCCCTGTCCTTTTTAGTGAAGTCATATTGGAAGTCCAGGTTAATGCTCTGGTGAAGAATTAGTTGATCTTAGAAGTTTAGTATTTAAAATTTTATTGGTGGAAAAGCTTTTTCTTTCATTGTACGCTAGGGAAAATAAGAGTTGGGAGTGTGTATTATCTGCTTTCAAGCACTCTATTGGGCTAAGGAGTTATATTTTCTTTTGCTATTATTCTCAATATCAGATAGCAGTAGATGCATATGGACAGTGTTGTGCTGTTGTGTATAAAAATTGAGAGATTTGATTTCTTTCACTCTTTTTTCTTCTTGAGCTTATAATAGTACCACTTCGATTAATCATGTTAGAAAGTGATGTTCTTTACCAGCTATTTGCTTTGGTATGCCTGATATTAAACTTCACCAGTTAATTGTATTTAAATATATATGTGGTTATTTATATATTTAAATACATATTTATATATTATAAATATGTTTGTGTATTTATAGATATATAAATGAAATTTTATTCTTTAAGAAATAAAGGAAGATACTGAAATTTCCATTTCATGTGTGAAATACCCCATTAAACCTAAGTAAATTTGAAATCAGTCCTGTTAACATTCTTTATTTCCTGTTGGACATTTTAATTACCTCCTGGCTATTTCTTGTAATATAAAAGCTTTTCTCGTTTCCTCCAGCTATATCAATAGCATAAGCACCCTTGAGTTTTTCATGTTTGTCTTAATATAATCACTTAGTATTTCAAACCTTCTTTTGCTTTGTTTTAGGATTTTTTTTTGTTTTTTTTTAATATTCCTATCAGAGAGGTACCCTTACGTGCCTAACAGCTTAGCTGTTTCTCTCCCAGCTGATAAATGGCAAACTGTAGCTGGTAGTGGTGTTAACCTGTTGAATCTTAGTACCTGTCTGTCACTGTCCTGCAGCAAAGCTTTGACTGTTTGTGTTTTTTTTTTTTCTTGTGGGTTTTTTTCTTTTGGCATATTGTGTGACATTTTGGTTTTTGTTGTGGTGTTTCTGACTCTTTGTGCCTTTCCTTTTGTGTTTGTTTTCCCTCCTTTTCTCAGTTTGCAGCGGGGCCTCGACCTGCCCATCACCAGGTACTGTACCCTTGCCCCTTCACTATCACCCTTAACTAATAGGTGGGGGCTTTAGTAGCTGCTGACCCTTAGAATGCTGCCATTCCAGGGAACCACCCAACCTGTACTCTTCAAGAGTAGCTGCAGTCTCCTGTGATTCTGTTCTTTTTGTCCTTCACTAATTTCACAGCATTTTGTTATTAACAAACCCATTCCGTTCTGTTAATGGCACAATTTAAAAATAATAGAGTGGTTTTTTTCCCCCAAAAAATAATTGCTCTGAATTTAAGGAACCCTGAAAAATTGCAGATATAGTAAGCCCTCACAGATTTTGTGGATATCTGTATTGTTTAAATTTGACTGGAACAGGCAACATTCTAAGGGTTTTCTGTTAACATTCTGATGTAACTTGTATTGACGTGTATAAAATAGCATTAATATTTCTAAAACCATTTAATTTCAGTTACTAACTTAGATCTAATATCAAATTAACAGTAATACATATTCATTTGCTTTATAGAATTATTCTCAGGATACATAGAAAATAAATACCTTATTTAATTTTAATATATGTAGCCTATTGGTTCTTTTTAAATGAAGTAATTGTATAAATTAAAATTTAAAATGTATATGCTGACACTAATTTATTTAGCAGGAATATACTAGAGGAGGTGGTTTGGGAGAAAGTCCTTGCAGGGTTTTTCCCTCCAAATAACTTCTTACAGAGTGTCCTGAAACATTTTCTCCTGCTGCAATAGAAAGGGCCTAGGCCTTACAGATCTGGGTTCATATTACCAGCTTTAGTGTGTAACCAGCTGGGTTAAACAGATCTTTTTCTGAGCCTCAGTTCCCTCATATGTAAAATTGGGATAAATACCCTATATTCTATGTTAGGGATAAGATTCTTTAGGCATCTGACACAAAGTAAGCAGCAATAAGTGGTAGCTATTTTTTATATTATTATGCAATCTAGTATGGTTTGATAAAATTAGAGAAATGTTACCCATTGTTTACCTGTGTTAATCATAGTTAGAATTCTTATTACTGAGTAAATGGACATGGTGTAATTGCAGGATTTCATTATCTACCGGTGATTTAATATAAGGCTCTATTTCTCAAAATAAAGTCTTTTCAGTTTAGATGATGTAAAAACCAAGCAAATTCTGAGGTGCTAAGGACACTTTGTAGGAGAACTCAGATGTGGTTGATTGAAGTGGATGGCGATTCTTTGGATTAGATGAAGAAATAAAATTCAGATATTTTTTAGTATCAACAGATAGTGTTGTTAAAGAGCTTGCAGTTTGGTGTCAACTAGACCTAGGTTTGACTCTTATTAACCGAGTGGTTTTGGGCAAGTTATTCACTGGTCTCAACCTCAGTTTTCTCATCTGTAAAATGGGCGCAGTATTAGTAGCCATCTTAGGACTGATATGAAGAGTAAATGAGATAATAGAAGGAAAATGATCAGCAGTATTTAGCATATACTACAAATCTATGCGGCAAGATTACTAATAATTAAAAAGAAGATAAACCCTTAGGTAAAAAGATTGATTATAAATTTTATAAAATATTTAGTCAAGGGTCATAGAGGCAAGGCTTAAATTTTAGTCAGGGATCAAGACAGAGAGATAACTTCTAACAGAGAAACCTTGGGAGATCTCTGCTCCAGAAGCAGAGTAGAAAGAAAAACGATTTCTGTGGTCCTTCATAGAAGGCTAAGTGTTTCTATAATTTCTATTCAATCGCAATGGTCCTCAAATAGGGATGTTGTATTTAAGCCTTTATAAATAGTCTTCTTTGGAAAAATTTGTTTTCTGAACTTTCTTCTCTTTGTCTTTTAATTCCAAAAACCAAGGAAACCTTAAAGGAGTCTTTGTGAGAAAAGGTTGATTTCATTTCTGAAATCATTTTCATGTGTAATATGACTCAAGAAAGTATTGGCAGATTGGTCCTTTATTTAGCTATAGGATGATGCTTGTGAAATTAAAAAAATAGAACTCCATATATCTATATACTTATTATTTATTCATTAGCAAGGAAAATAATTCCTTTTTACACTGGTTCTTGAAGATAGATTCTTGAGCTGCATCATAAATCCAGAGCATTACTTTTGAATACAAAAACTTCAGGTAGCTGGCTGCTTTTTACTCTGGCATTCCTCCTTTCTAAATAGCAGTTAAAATTTTTTCATTACACCAGAGAGAATTAAGTGAGTAAGGAAATATATAACTTTGGTTGAGGCAGCAGCAGGAATTAGTTCCCGTGGAGAACTAGAAGAGGGAGGGTGTAAGGTTGAAGTGGCACTGCTGAGCAGAGCTAGCTGAAACAGTGGTGTGGCATAGAGCAGATTGTTAGGAAGAGTTTGCTCTGCTGTATCCATGGATGTACAGGCCAGTTTGGTTTGTTTCACTGTGGAATAGGTATTGGCATTTTGGGTGGGATAACCAGTTATGAAAAACTTCCCTGTAAATTGTAGTTCATTTAGCAACCTTAAGGCTCTAAATGCCAGTAGAATTCCCCCAGTGACAATTAAAAAACAAAAGAAAACAAAAAACACCTTGATATATTTCCAAATAACCCCCATGGAGATGATACTATTTCCCATTTGAGAGTTACTGGTTGAAGTTTGTATTTAAAATTATCATCTCCTAAAGTTTAAAGTCATGTAGAGGGGCTCCTTGGGTGGCTTAGTCGGTTAAGTGTCCGACTTGTGATTTTTGGCTCAGGTCATGATCTCAGGGTCGTGAGACCGAGCCCCATGTCATGCTCCGCAGTGGGCATGGAGCCTACTTGAGATTCTCTCCCTCTCCCTGTGCTCCTCCCCACACACCCCCCTTCTCTCTGTGTATGTGTTGAAAGAAAGTCAGTCAGGTAGAGGTTCATAGAGAAGGAGATGGCTCATAAGAGAAAACAGTACATAGAGACTTGTATAATGAGAGTAAACAGTAAAAAACATTGTTATACAGAGAATACATTTTTAAAGGGGAAAACATCTATGTCCTAGGTTATTTTTGGTTTGTTGTGAATTGAAGGCACAAACGGTTTTTTCATTTATAGTTGTTTTCTTTGGCCAGAAAGAATTAAATCAAGGGTTAGAATTAGCTTTGATTAGTTAGACTTAGTGAATAGATTTCTCATTTCTCCTTTATTGAATTGTTCATCAGTGGCTACCTTTCTGATCACATATCCTTCCATGCTTTGATCTTTTTTTTTTTTTTTACACAATAATTTGATGCTGGATGACGTTTCCTATGATTGTTATTTCTAAAGTCCAACAATAAATACATAAGTTTTTGTGAATGCTTAGTAACAATTGGTTCTATAAACATTACGAAGGAAAAGATATTATTTAGGTAAGCTAATTGGAGGTAATTGCTTGTGAAATGAAAACACGGTTGTCCAGTTTAGTAATCTAGAACCTATGTATATATTTTTTCTTCTTTGTAAAAGGAAGTAAACTGAATTGAAACAAATAAGATTCTGCATAGTAATATTTTTAGTTTAATAGGACCAAGAAACTTACAGAATGTATTTCTTGGAACTACTTTTATTTAGAGTATCTTTATGTGTGGCCAGCCAGAGCCCTTATTGAGTCCCTCAAGTCAGGGATACCATGGTCCAGTTAGAATTATGTCAGCCATGTCTTCTTCCAGTACCATTAGTTTTTGGCTTTTACAGGGATTCTTTAGATTAATTAATTAGGATGTTCTATTTTTTTGCATTTTGTAACCTGAAGAGAGCTTTAGATTAGACTAACAGTTTTCTTCAAAGGTAAAAGAAGTACTAAGTAATTTTATATGCAAACACCCGTGGCTTTAGAAATATGTCAACTATTTTTACTCTGATACCGGTTTGAAAATCCCAAGGTAGTTAGAAACTGAAAGAACAGAACGTACACTCATAAGTAAAGCAAGTCACTTGGTATAATGTAGATTCTGGCTTGTGTTATTAATTTCATGTTTAGCAGTTGAAATTCGTGTAGTTGTGGTTTAAAGTTACTTGTGTTCCTGTCCTTATTTTACTTTTGGGTTTCACAACAGAGATCAAGTGTTGGTTAAATACTATGGCTGAGTAGTCTTTGCATTTTGAGAAAGACCAAGGAATTGGTATTTAAAAGTGTTCCTAGAACAAAAACATTTTTCAGTGTGTTGATACATGATTTTAATTACCATAATATTCACAAATGTTGAATAGTATGCCATATTCAAAGCAATCGGATTTAGTGTAAACAAATAAAAGCTTGATAAAATTAACAGTATCTCGCATCAAGGAAATACGTTACCTAGTGGCAAGCAGCATTGAAACTGTGCATGTTTTCCTGTTGTAGTTTTGTTCTTTTTGCTAAAAGATTAAAAGAAAAGAAAATAGCTGGCTCATGTTGATTTTTTTGTTGTTGTTGTTATGAACCTTAAAGGATTTCTGTATTCAAACTTGTGTTGTTACATTTGAAGTCTTGGTTTCTGGTAGAGAAATATTTGTATTGCTCTAGGCAGTTTCTTAGATTTGGAAAGTAAAATAAATGAAGGCTTAGGGCTTGCCTCTGGGGCCAGTTCTGGCATATCAGAGTCTAATGGATATTACTTGGAAATAAGATCAAGCATTTATGCAGTCTTATGAGCAGTCCTCTTAGATTTTTCAGAGCTTAATGTAAGTCAGTCTTGGGCAGTTTTATCTAGTGCCTTATTCACCAAAGACTTGTAGGGTTATGGCAGAGATAGTAAAGAAAATACAGGTTGGGAGTTGGCATAACTTTGAGCCTCAGATTTCTTATCTGAGAAATGGATAAAATATGCTCATAAATAATAAAATATTGAAGTGTTACAACAACAGCACCTATTTCCTAAGGGTGTTGTGAGGATCAGAGTACCTGCCTGTCACAGTCCCTGGCACATAATAGATTCTTGGTAAATGTCAATTTCCTTTAACAGTGACACAGCCTATCTTCCCCCCCCTTTCTCAACCTATTTTTACCTACGAGCAAAGTATTCTACAAGGATGCTCATTTTTGAGTCTATGTCATGATCAGACAGAACACTTTCTGTTCCTGAACAGAATCCTTAGGATTTTTTTCTTCCATCTGACCTAATCCTCCATGACACTACTGTCTAATAGAACTTTCTGTGGTGGTGGTGAAAATGTTCTGTGTCTGCGCTGTTCACTAGAGTAGCTGCTAGCCACATGTGGCTGTGGAGCACTTGAAATGTGCAGTGCAACTGAATAACTGAATTTTTAATTTTAATTTAAGTAATCAAATATGGCAAGTAGCTGTTGTATTGGACGACTCAGCTCTAGGGCTTACATCTTCTAATTCTTAATGAAACATAAATTATGTGATATTGGCCACATGCAGGGAAAGTACAGAAAGAATTTAGAATGTAATAACCTTCTTATAAATTGGTGTAAGTCAGCAGAATATCTGGTTGATACTTGAATGAATATCCCATTATGTGGACTCTTCACTGCTTGTTCCCTTATAACTTGTGAGATAATTATAGCACTGTTATTTTTCTCAAGAGTACTTTAGAATTTTTGAAGATATTAACCTAAAAAATTCATAATTGCAAATCTTACTGTTCCTCCAGTAGGCTGAACTATATATTGCAGAAAGCTAGGGATTTCAGAAGCATATTTTGATATGGTTTTTATTACTTTGCAAATTAATAAGTATTGTGTAGTTTTTTTTTTTCCACATAGGAAGAACTAATGTGATTGAACATGATTTTTCTAGTTGCTGAAAATGAATAGGTAGTTTTTAGAGAATGTTGAATTATTATGTAGTTTTTTTAGAGATATCCTTGTCTTTTGATGATTTTAGAAAGAGTGAATTCATGAGAAGTGATAGAATTACCAACATATTCAAAAAGCATTTATTACTAATGTTATTGGCCAGGAAACTTTAGGTAATGGTATAATTATCACATCTTTAGAAGGATTTTCCAAGAGGTAACGTTTTCCTTCCGGCTTCTAGAACGTTACAGTGAAAGTCAGCTATCATGAGTACTCTAAATTCAGCCTCTGTTTTAAATGTATCCTAGCCCTTTGGAAAAGCTGCGCAAAGTACCACCTCACATGAGGGCTGATTCTTCCCCTTGCCATTCTCCTAGCATACTAGTGGATCATTGAAAGATAAAAGACTTAAAACAGATTGAAATCAAGTTTGGAGATGATCATGTTGTACACGATTCCTCCCTTCTCTGCCTAGCCTTTTTCAGCATTTTCATCAGTGACTTGGATTAATGACATGCCTGTCAAATTTGCTGGTGGTTATGTGGTTTTGACATTGTATTATACATTTGGAATCCAGAAGTATCTGTACAGTCTGTAATGATGGATTGAAATTAGCCAGATACATTTTCAAAGGAACAACATACATGATTCCCTATCTGAACTTCATTACACAACCCTAAGAATACATACAAAAGTGAAGAGCGTGACTTGTTGCCGGTTATATATAAAGAAGACTTAGGGATTTTATAAGATTGTAACTCAGTACCAATCAGTAGTAAAATGTGGTTGACAAAAGAGCTCCTGTTATTCTTGGTTTTGTTAATGGAAGTATAATCAGCCAGAGTAAGAGAGAGATGTTGCTCTTTGATTTAGCAACAGATAAATTTATTGAGTGAGGCCAGGTACATTCTGGGCAGATATCACCTGGATATTTGTGTTTGGTTCTCTATTCAGTGAGACTTTGAACTGTGGGACCATATTGAGAGAAAGCTAAAGAGGGAATTTAATATCTTGGTTGGAGGGACAGGGCATGGAGGGTAGTAATTGGCTTTGAACAAAAAATAGACATTGGTGTGAAAGTTGGCAGTGATGGCTGTCTTCACATAACTTAGAGATTTGTCACTTCTGTAGGAGAAGGATTTGACTTTGTTGTGCTTTTAGGAATATTTGTTGGACTAGAGGGAAGATGATATAGAGAGAAAAATTTGGAACCAGTAGAAGGAAAGTCAGAACTCCATTTAATAATGAAATGGAGCTGTGTCTTCAGTTGCTCAAGTGTCGTAACCTGAAGGGCATGTCAAATAAGAGATTTAAACTTTAGGTATGTGGTTAGATTAAATGGCTTGTACTGTCCTTTCATCCAGTATCCAGGAGAGTATGATCAGTGGAGAGGAAAAGAGATTCAGAAGCATTGCAAGCAGTTTGGGAAGGCCCATTCACATTCACAGGTTCTTTTTAATAACCTGTGGTTTGCTGCCATGCCCACCCACGGATTTTTAATTTCCTGCACCACTGTTAAATCTAATTCTAAATTTACAATTGAATGGTTAGGAGAGAGTACAAAAAAGAGAATCCATCTCTTTTTATTTCTTTGCCTTTCCAGCCATTACATCTTTTCTAGTTCTATAGATAGTAGAATCTCATGTGTGGGGGGAGGAGGGAGGGAGAATGAGGGAGGGAAGGAACTTCTTAAGGGTGAAAAATAAGCTCCAGATAGCCTGTCCTTGTAAAAATCTTGTGCAGTGAGTTTGAGTAAAAGGTCTGTTAACTGTTGAACCAATAATGTAAAAGCATATGAACAGGTGTCAGTTACTTTAAGGGAGATACAGAATTAGAGTCTTGTAGGTAGAAGAAATTTATTTTCCTGAATAATAAGCATGAATTTTGTGAAGTAATTGATGGAACATTTTTCTTACCAGGAATGTTACGACTGAGGGATATGCCACCCATTAGTGTAGTTGGATAAAGGTCTCACCACATTCCTTCAGCCTTAGAAAAAATTTCTTTTTACTCTCAACAATTGTTTGAAAATACGAAGTAGAGTGTGTAACAGTTAAAGTTATACACCTAAACCTGACTGTGTTTAAATTACAGGTGGGAGACCTTTAGGAAGTTACTTTATTTCCCTGTCCCTCAATTTCCCAGTATATCTAATGGGGGTGTTAATAATCCTACCTGTCTTAGGGCTTTGTTGTAAGAATAATTTAATATATATGTAAAATAATTACATATATAGCTAGTAAGTACTATATAAATCTTCAGTGTTCCTTAATGTGCATATATGAATACACTTTTCTACATTGTTTCAATGCTGAAGTCTTTGTATATAAAAAATACTGCATGTCCACATAATCATAAATGATGTGTTTTCCTGGGTTCAGCTTATGTTAATATTAGCAGTATCATCAGAAACACTTGTTTGTTTCTCTTTTAAAACCACTGAAGAAAACAGGCTTCTGAATCCTCCTTGAATAAGCTGTATTCTCAGCTATTGTAAACGGGGGTTAAAAACCCCCGCAGAGGAGTTGGAAACCAGTGTCAGGAGAAGGACTCACATACAGTAAACTGTTAGGATTGTGGGGAAACTTTGCCCATATCTGCTTTTCTTGCTCTGCACAAGTTAGTAACACCGTGTGTCTCTTCAGGCAGTAAATGCTCTTACAAAATTTGATGATAATATAACCACAGTGGATCATCACCTGTTGTGTGTGATACTCTCCTTGTCTTGGCTGCCCTCTAGAGTTGGTGGAAAAAGTTATCTTACAGGAATAAGATTTCTTCCGCTGCATCTAACATGGAGTAATGCTCAGTAAGTTGAGCGGATGAATGACTATCCTCTCTTTGAGGCCTGTGACAGTTTTGTGGCTACTGACATATTAACCAAGTTAGAAAAATGCTTCAGTTCATTCATGTAGTGTTTTTACAGCTCACATACATTGATGAATAATAGATTTATCTGCTGTGTAATTCAGAGAAGTGTAGTATAGGATGGCAAGTTTACTAGTTCAGTGTTCTTGGTTGCAGCCAACAGAATTCTTGTGTCTGTCAACAAGATTGTCAGTGGAGATAAACGTGAGACTGTTGTTGTCGGTATGGCCCAGCCCAGGTTCCTGTTAGCAACTTTGCTTCTTGTACTTTCTTTTCATCTCCATCAGCCTACTCTCTCTGGCCTTCTGCATCTGGTTCCCCCATCCACTCCATTCTCCTACTGTACTGTCTATTGCTTTTCTGTGACTTAATCTTTTTAAGGCTTTCTTTGTTCTGGGTTATGAAGGCCGAATGGGGATGAGCCTTGGACATTGGATCCTAATTCTTCCAATTCAGCACAAGATAAAAAGTTATTTCTTCTACTATCTGTGGGTAACTTGATGCTTAAGAATAAGACAAGACCTGAGTGGGCCCAAAGGTCAAAGCTCATCCTTGCTTTATTTGGACCAATCGCAATCAATATTCATGTCTGGAATTGTGAGACAACTCAAGAGATTTTGGAGCTAGGCCATATTTTAAGACTAGTTTTATGTTTCCCCATTTTAAAGCTTTAAGTGGCCTCTTACATGCCGTGTTAGTTGAGAAGAGCAGGTGTCTGTCCTGAAGGGTCTAATATATTTTGAAAAGCTTAGTTATTTCTTAGGACACTTGCAAACTTTAAAATAATGAATGGCACTTTTATTTTTAACTTTTCTCCATTAAAGATGGAGAGTGGATCATAGAGAAGCTAAATAATGCCAAGTCACATAATGGGTGTCTGTAGAGCCAAGAACAGGAATCAGGAATCAGTCCCATCTGTACTTGAAAGCAGACATATCCTTTCAAGCTGTTACAACTTGTGGCTACGATTAGAATATTTTTGCCACTGGATTTATTTATATTCAGTTAAGTGTGATTCAGTTCTTCAATTCCATGTGTCCTTGAATTCTCAAGTGGAGAATTGTCATTCTGATTTTCTAATCTTCCTTCTTCTCCTATTATTAATAGAAAGATATTTTTGTTGAGCTGCATGCTATGTCCTACCCCTTCCTACTGATCTATAAGCTTTTCCATTGGCTTTCTTTCTGTTTCCTGCTGCTTTCTTGCTTCATAATTGAAGGGAGGATTCAGACCCATCCAGGTAACAACTACTGGTTCTGCATGGCCTCTTTATTACTCTATTCCCTTATTATTATTACAATGAGATTGATTGTTTGCTGATGAATATACATGCATTCACAGTGGGAATTTATTATTGGTATATTGTTTCAAGGCTTTTAAGCCTGCAGTGAGAGCCATAAATAACCACAGGTACTGGCTGCCATTTGATAAATTTTGAGTTCTGCTCCTTCCAGACCATTCTTAAGTCTGTCTAGATTTTCCACTTTTACTGCAAACTATTCAATATAGCAAAATTGGGTTCATTTTAATATGGGGTTGCCACTTTTTAGAAAAGGAAGGCCATTCCCATCATGTGACAATCAGCATGTGACAACTCTACTGATAGTTTTAATTTAACTTGACTCTGATAGACTGAGATAAAAATCTTTATGTCTAGAAATATTTTATAAATTACTTGAATGGTAGTTTTTTAAGGGACTGCTTTTAATTTTTGATATAAGTACTTTTATACAGTAAAACAACTTTTAGAGAGACAGAAGCTACCCCTTTTGTTATATTTTATCACATTTTAAAATTAATAATTATAGTATATAATTTTTCATTTAAAATAGCTGAGGCTTCACTTTAAAAGTGAGACTGCCCTACTGTTTTCATATGTGTGACAGCACTGATCAAAACTTGACTTAGTGTGTCTAGTGTAGAATATTTTTAGTGATCCCAGCCACATGCAGTTTGGCCTCTTTTCATGTATATTGTATTTCCAATTCAGTTGGTAACATTTTTATTAGTGGAAAAAAGGAGAAAGCTCAAGATAGTAAAATTTACGTATTCCCCTTTGTAAAAAAATAAATATTTTTTTCTCCCCTCCTCAGTTTTTTCAGAGGCCTCAGATACAGCCTCCTAGAGCTACCATCCCGAACAGCAGTCCTTCCATTCGTCCTGGTGCACAGACACCCACTGCAGTGTATCAGGCCAATCAGCACATCATGATGGTTAACCATCTGCCCATGCCGTACCCAGTGCCCCAGGGTCCTCAGTACTGTATCCCACAGGTAAAGTATCTTTCAGGTCTCTGTCGTCCAGCAGTAGAGTGGGATTTAACCCAAATTCTCATCAAAGGAAGCAGGGAGGGTGGGTGATGGCATTGGTTTTTAGTGATACGTGAACTTTTCTGTTGGTTATAAGTCTACCATTTTATCATTTTCCATAATATTGTAAGGAGCTATTTCTACATCTCTTTAAGTTTTTCTAAGATGTTAGAGAAATTATTTTTATCTTCTAACTTTTACCCCATCCCTTCCCCATATCCATCTGCTCTAAAACAGACTCAGTAATTATGCTGTTCCTGTGATAACATTCAATTTCATTAAAAGCTACTAGCCTGAAATAATTTTATACTGAGCTGATATCTGTCTGTGCACTGATTTGCTGTATGGTTTTTACCTAATGCACATCTTTCTCTTCGTCCTCATTGCATCTTGATGGCAAGCAAGCGTTTTTGAAAAGTATTTAACCAAGAGTTTTCACCTTATTTCAGTAATTCTCTCTCTCTCTCTCACACACACACAACTTTATGTTTTTTAATAGTAAGCTATCTTCATATTATTTATAAATATCTTTAATTTCTCTTTTCTAGTACCGTCATAGTGGCCCTCCTTATGTTGGGCCCCCACAACAGTATCCAGTTCAACCACCAGGGCCAGGGCCTTTTTATCCTGGACCAGGACCTGGGGACTTCCCCAATGCTTATGGTAAGTATGAAATAATTGAGCAATTTCTGCTAAAACTGATCGCTAATCAGTTTAGGCAGTGAGGTTTAGTGTTGTAAAGAATTTTTAAATAAAATGTTGCAAACAGTTCTGAATGGAAAGCTTTTTAGAGAGTGGTTTACAAGAAAAGAGTATTACAGAAGTATTTAGTTAATGACACCATCTGAAAGAGCTGGTAATTCTGTTGCAAAGAACCCATGTCTCAAGGTTCTGAATCTGCAACCAACTCATCATTACCTGGATTTTTATTGGATTTTTGCTGATGGAATAAATATACAGTTGACTATTGAATATCACAGGTTTGAACTGCATGGGTCCACTTATACACAGATTTTTTTTTTTTTAATAAATACAGTATGGTACTGTAAATCTATTTTCTCTTATGATTTCCTTAACATTTTCGTTTCTCTAGCTTACTCTTTTGTAAGAATACACGTAGTACATGTAACATACGAAATATCTGTTAATCAGCTGTTTATTTTATTGGTAAGGCTTCCAGTCAGCAGGAGGCTATTAGATAAGATTTTGGGGCTTCAAAACTTATACATGGATTTTGAACTGCATGCAGGTGAGCAGAGGGTGCCCCTGACCCGTGTGTTGTTTAAGGGTCAGTTATAACTTATCTCCCTTCCATGATTTTTTTTCTCCAAGCATTTATCACCATTTACCAAAATGTTTGTTAATGTTTCCCTACTAGAATGTACTACCACAAAGGCAAAGAATTTGATTCTTTTGTTCACTGCTGTATCCCTAGCACCTAAAACAGTGACTAGGTATTGGGGTGGGATGACTGAGTATAACTGACTACCTCTGTGATTCATTTTCTGCAAAATTGTGATAAGATCTGTGTCCATAGGAAGGTTATGAGGATTAGTGAAATGAAAATGCCTCGAAAAATCACAAATATTTTTAATGTAGAGAAATAAGTGCCATGTTTGTACTTTGTGAACCAGTACTAAGCTAGAGAGTAATGAAAACGACTTACTCAATAAATTTCTACCACATATTATACTTGCTTTATTACATAGAAAGTGAATTCTAAGGGATAAAATCAGCAAATACTAGAAAAATTAAGCTTTAGGATTCAGTAAGCATTGATCTTTTTTGCTACCAGTAAGGACATATTAAAATTTTAACTTGTTCTTTTAAGATATAGTAATCTAGTATAGATAAACAGGTATCCACTAACCAAGTTCCTAACATTGGGATTTAGTGTCTCAATTAAAAACCTTTACATCAGAATTAATTGGTATTAGAATATCCCAAGAACATTTTCCTTAGGTTTTGAGGTGAAATAGGCCAAAGAACCACTACTTCTAGAAAAGGGAAAACCTTTCTCTTACCTTGGTTACTATTGCTTGTGAAACTGCCAGTTACAAAATGATACACTTCATAATGTCATTAAATGTCGCAAGTATGTATATATGAAACATGGCTTTACTGAAGTTGTATTTTACTAGGAAATATTTGATATTTTCAAAACAACACTTGTTACATATATGTGTTTTAAAGTAAGGTAATACATGTGCATCACCCAGCTTTGACATAGAATATTGCTAATACTGTTGAAGTGTCCCTTGAACTTAGTTTGAACTTGGGGTTTTCATACCACCTTAGTGCCTTTGTATTTGTACTTATTCTATAAATTTAAATCCAATTAAAATTATTTTTCCATTTTAAGAAAGATTTTATTTATATATTTATTTATTCATTTTATTTATTTGAGAGAGAGAGCACGCAGGGGGAGGAGCCGAGGGAGAGGGACAAGCAGATTCTCCTCTGAGGGCAGAGCCCGACACAGGGCTCGATCCCAGGACACTGAGATCATGACCTGAGCCAAAATCAAGAGTCAGATGCTTAACTGACTGAGCCATCCAGGTGCCCCCAATTAAAATTATTTTTAAGTGTAAAATTGGCAGTTGATATTATCAAGAATTTATTGAGTAGAAAAACTATAAGGTGAGACTGGCTGTCCGAGTAAACATGCTAAAATCTCCAGACTTTTCTCTTTGAATCCCATGTTGTAATGGGAATGCAGTTGTATCTTCTAATTCGCAAAATCATTTTGAAAGGTGTCTCACTGAATTCTAGCCTGTTTATTTACACATTATATAAATAACTTTTTGATGCAAAATGTTGTCATTAAAATTCTATTATAAATCTGTGCCAGCCCTCTTTATTGCTCTTAATACTACTGCAGTATATATAGAAACAATATAGATGAGTTTACTGGTAGGGAAATATTTTGCTGATTTGGATATACAATATTATAACATATTTGGCTTTATTTATTTCTATTACATATAGACTGTATTTGTTTATTTTCACAAAAAGCAGGATATTGAGGGGCAGTTGTATCTCAAATATTGTTGATATCTGTTCCCTTTGTTAGATATTCTTTCTTCCCTGGGAAATTCTTATGCAGATCCCAAATCCATCAAGTAAGCAGTTTGTCTTATAGATTAAAACAGTTCACCTAGTTAACTTAAGATGAGAAAAACAATCTTAAAATAATTTTTCATTATGAAAGTAACCAAGTTAGTGAGAAAAATACAAATAATAATAGAATATATAAAGTTGAAGTAGCCAGTTTTTTTCCCTTTCTCCACTCCCTAAAGAAACAATGATTTAACAGATTAATACATGCTTTTTCATTTATATTTAAACAATTTTTAATACATATGGCCACATACTATTTATAATGTTCTAAAACTTTCTGGTATTTTTTTCCCCCATCTCACAATATATTCATGGACATCTTTCCATTTCATTACCTATAGAATTTCAAGCTATATAGTATTCCATTTTAGGGATGAATCATAATGTATAATCCAGGCTTAGATTATTTTCATTATTTGGGCAAATATTTTAGTTTTAAGGCTTATCACTAGTTAATATGCTTTTATCAGACTTAAAAGTTCTGATCCAGTAGTTCCCATCAATTATAGGTCCTTCTGGTGTACCACCTTGGGACAGCTATTCTGGCCTTACGGTCTAGAAGACATAAACATACCCCCTTCCTATTTTCTTGTTTTGGAATCTCTTCTTCTCTTACCCTTCCACTCCCAGTTTTTCATTTCCCTCTGATCCTGGTCCCCCACTTTTCTCCTTCCTCTTCTTCCTAATCTTGGGTTCAGGTTAAAAGCAAGTATAAGGAATGGAATCCTAGTTCTCTGTTCTGAAGCACAGCAGTCCTGTCTTCTAGGGCAGAGGGCCTTCCTCTGGCTGAACTGGTAAGGAACGAATCCTAGTCTTGTTCCTTCCTGCCCTGCTGGTGGAGGTGGTGAGTTGGACAGTCTCGTTTGCCCAAGTCTTAGTTCTTTTTCCTTAGCTTACATTTCACTCTAGGGTAATAATATTTTACTCCTCTATTCAGTTTAAATCTTGAACAGTGATTCCCAAAGAATATTTTTGCCCTTACTGAAGTTCAGTAACCAAGATCATAAAATTCTGTTTATACATTATAATTCTTGGAGTGTTTCTATAGTGTTGAGGAAAAATAACTAATGAGTAGTGTTGATCAGTGTCACTTTTCAGTTTTTCTCTCATCAGTGTTTCTTAAATATTTTGATGCCTGTTATATCAGAAAAATATCTCATGAAGGTGATGGCCCAAGGTGTAAAAATTTGGGTTTGGGAGCAAAGAGGTGTGGTTAGCAGTGACAGTGATACTGGGATCAAGTCCCCAGTTGGGTTCCTTGCTCAGTGGGGAGCCTGCTTCTCCCTCTGCCTGCCACTCCCCCTGCTTGTGCTCTCTCTCTCTTTCTCTCTCTCTGACAAATAAATAAAATCTTAAAAAAAAAAGTCCTGTTCTCCTTTGCTTCAAACTATAGTTTCCCCTTTTCTCACTGTATCATTCTCTTCTTCCCTTTTTCATTTTCTTTTCCACTCTTTTCCTGAGCTCTGTGGGGGCTGGGGCACCTTTTTTAGCTCCTAAGAGCTGAGGGATTCATTCATTGTTCCCCATGGTGTGTGGAAGTGGGAAAGTCTGGCATCCGAAATTGAATTTGATTGTGTGTTCATGGAGTGTTAATACTGTGATTGTTGGGGTGCAGTTAAGCAACCAACTCTTTGTTTCGGCTCAGATCATGATTTTGGGGTCCTGGAATTGAGCCTTGTGTTGGGCTCTGTGCTCAACTTGGAGTCTGCTTGAGGTTCTCTCTACCTGTCCCTCTGTCCCTCGTGCTCATGCTCTCTGTCTCTAAAATAAATAAATCTTTAAAAAAAAGTACTGTGATTGTGGATGTGGTTGTATACTGACATTATTATTCTGGGATATTATGGGATGAACTGATTTTTATGTACGACCTGCATACTTAACCACTATCTTTTTATTTGTTTCTATGGGAAAATTCAGTTTTGATATGTTTTTGGAAGACCTGCAATGTATAAGACAGTGTACTAGGTATTTTGTAGGATGTAGATGTTGAGATACTCTCCTTGCCTTTCAGGATCTTACAGTGCATTTGTTTGATATTTGTGTTTGGGGTTTTACCATTGCGAACAAATCTAAATGTTGACTAGACCACTGGTTCCCAGATTTTTCAATATCCTAGTGAAATAAAATTTTTAAAAAGTAAAGTAAAATAAAGGAAGAAACATACAGAACTATTACCTTTTTAATTTTGCCACAAAGGCTTTCAAAGAAAACTGTTACTTAATGTCAGTAGCATTTCATATAGGAAGGCTGTTTGAACAACGAAGGAACAAGACAGAAATAATTCCAAAATAGTAACAGACCTTTCCAAAATGTCAAATTAGCAAGCCTATAGTTGTGGCTCTGTGTGTGGTTAGTATAGTAATGTGGTTAATATTGTGTAAATTTTGCCATATATCATTGACACATTTTGTATTGACTGGAGTTTGGAGAACCACTGATCAAGAACAAGGATCAGGGGAAGAAAAGGGTCAGCCCTTTTTCTATAAAGGGCAATATTGTAGGTTTTGCAGGCCATATGGTCTCTGTTGCAACTATTCAGCTCTGCCATTTTAGTGAAAAGGCAGCAGTAGGTAACAGATAAAATACTGTATGTAGGTGTATTCCAATAAAACTTTATTTATAAAATTGCACTGGATTTAGCCTATTGGCTTTAGTTGACATACCTCTAATCTAGATAAACCTGTTACATTCCATGCATAAGAGGTCGGGGACATTAAGTAACATACCTAATTAGTAAATGGTATGCAAAAGTTAGTCACATTTTTAATAGAATAAAATAAATGTCTTTAAATGTCTCTGACATTATAAGAAGTTGAATTAGTATTCTATAAAAGATAATCGTTATTTGGTAAGGTAGAGGGCCCACTCTGCTGGGGTCCACAGTTGACTTGATATTTTACTAATTGTGTTTAACCCCATTATTGAGATATCCTATGCTTCCAGGTTTATTCAGCTGGTATTTATTGCATGTGTACTTTCTGCAATCTCTACCCCAGTCGTGTTGACTCAAAAACGTTTCATTAGAACAATCTAATTTTTTTCACCTTTTGGATCTTTGTCACTTAGTTTAAAAAATATGGCAAAGTGAGCAGACTGTATTGCCTGTCTAGCAGCATTTGAAACCAATTTTAGGGGATTGTTTTCTGAGTTTTAGAACTAGTGACATTCTAGGGTAGCGTAGAATTGCTTATTTAAGCTTGACTTTGAGAATACTGTATGCACTACCAGAAGCATGGCTAATAAGGTGTTTTTCTCTTTTTACATTGAATTAATTGAAATCCTAGCCAAGCCCCCTGTTCAGATCTTCTCCAAATTTGATTGAGACCTGCAGAATTCTGGTACCTTGAAATGTGGTACTGCTTCCAAGAAATTACCACTTAAAAGACTATTATGATGGTGGGGATGGTTTGATGTTGATGATGACAGTGATAATAGAGCCAGCATTATTTGTGTACTAACATACCAAGGATTTTACCTGTATTAACTACCTATACCTTCATGTTTTTCCTTCTTGTTATCATGACTCAACCATCACTGTTTCTACCAAAGGCCAGTCTTCTTCTTGGGTACTGGATCCCATCATGTACACATTTAAGGCTATTACTCTAGCTGTTCTCTTCTCTCTTTCTGGCATTATCATTTACTTTCTCTCTGCTGGATTAGTCCCTTCGGCATAAAGGTATATACTGTTTTATTCCCATCTTAAGACAAACAAACAAACAAAAAAACCCAACCACTTTTCTTCATTTCCATCTCATTCACTATTGAGCCCACCCTAATCAGGATGCACTTTCCCGCCCCTCCACCCATATAACTTTTGTCGGGATCACCTGTGCATTCTACTTTGCTGAATCTTGGTTGACTCTCAGCGCCATTTTACGTAGTTATGCATGCTCCCCATTCCTAAACCATTCTCTTTACTTCAGCCACTGCCTTGATTTTCTTTTTCATGTCCTTTGCTAGGTTTTCTTCATACTTGTAATGTCTGAAGAACATAGAGTGCCCCAGAATTTCGTCCTCGGGTTCATTCTCTATTTGTACTAATTTCTTAAGTTACCCAGTCTCATGGCTTAAATGTTGTCCATACTATACTAATTCCAGAATGGACACCTATTCTCTGACTCTGGAACTTGTGTCTCTTCCTGCCTACTTGCTGCTATCTGCTTTTGAAGGTCTAGTAAGAATCTCAAACTTTACATGTCCAAAATTGAATTCTTGATTTTTATGCTCTAAACTCTACTCTTCCTCTAGTTTTCCTCGTCTCAGTAGGTAAATAAATAGCACAGTAAATAGCATTTTCATTCTTCCACTTACTGCAACAAAAAGCCTTAAGAGTTTTCCTTGACACTTCTTTCTCTCATAGTCACATCCACTCTATCAGCAAATCCGTAGGTTCTACTTAATGTATCCAGTATCTGACCCTTCCTCATCACCTCTTCTCTTAGTACTCTGGCTTAGTAGTAATTATATTAATAGTCAGAGTTTTAAAGTTAAGAAAGTATTTATTGAGAGTACAAGGGGTGGGTGGAAGAAGGTAATTTTGGCATACCTTTAGCATAGTCAAAGGTATGAAGAATGTTGGAGAGATTGATGTACTCAAGGGATAGTAGTAGGTATAGGTTGTTGCTAGAGCAAAAGTACGGAGCTAGAGAATGGTACATAAGGTAGTTAAAACCCTGGAACCTGGACTCTTAGTATCAGACTTCATTTTTCAGCTGCTTGTTCTCAGCCTTTTTTCTGCTCCAATAGTATGATATTGGCTAAGCCTTAAGGGTGGTTCCCTATGACAGTGGTTCTCTGAAAGTAGGGAGAAGAATCAGACCACTCCCCCTCCACAAGATGATCATATATATTTTCCTTCCTCTGACCAAACCCCCACACAAAACATATTCACACAAACCCTTGCTTGAGAATCACATCGCAGGGAAAGGGCAGGCCCCCGGAATAGATTTTTTTAAAGGCAGTACTATAGTATGATTAGTTTTTTTGAAAAGTGCCTCTGGTGGCAATCTGCAGGAGTTGGTTATTTAGTTGTTTTCATATTGGATGCCGACAAAAAGATAGGTGTTTTGAGTTTTGGGGAATCACTCCTTGAGCACTTAAGTAAATATAGGGAAGCTATTGGATAGAGATGATTAAGTGGAATGTTTTTGTTATTTATTTTTTTAACTGATTGTCCGGAGACACAGTGCCATTAGTAGTCTTATAATGGTTGACAAAATAACTGAATGCTTCTTTTCATTGTTTTTTCTAATTCTTTAGGAACGCCTTTTTACCCAAGTCAGCCAGTGTATCAGTCAGCACCAATCATAGTGCCTACGCAGCAGCAGCCCCCTCCAGCCAAGAGAGAGAAAAAAACAGTAAGAGATATTTATTAATTTGTCTTATTTTAAAATCGAATATCCAGTCCCTTGTCAAATAAGTTTACCCACAGCTGTAATCATTCTTCTGAGTTCACAAATGATTGCCATTTTTTATTCTTCACTTACATCCTTACCACTAGACCTAGACAATTTGTATGGACATATAAGTAGAAGTTACAAGAACCATTTATTTGCTTAATATCATTTTTCAGCATGCACTGAGCTAGTTATGCTAGGTGACAACATGCCTTCTTTAGAACTGGGAGGATTTAGTCTGCTAAGATCTTATTAAGTGGGAGAAATTTGAGCTCTATTTTCACATACTGATTATTGTCCTTTAACTTCAGTCCTAATCAGCTCTATGTTCAAATATGAACTTACAGGGGAAAAAACAGCACAAGTGAAAATGAGTAAAGTGTTAAGGACAATAAGAAAAATCCTCCCTGTGGAATAGATTTATTTTTAGAAATACCAGAATTTAGAAAATGTATTCTGTTTTTAGGAAGTTACAGGGGCTTTGCCTCTGTCTAGAAAGGCAGGCCCAAAGAAAATTAGAGTGCAGTAATATAAAGTTCACATTGCAGGACATCCTGTAGAAGAGTGGCTTGCAATTTCTTACCCATTAGGACACACAAAATGAGATTCACAAGGGTGAGATACGTGGGAGAGATACCATAGCAATCAGTACTCTTGAAAGTACTCTCATTTAATAAAAATAATAGGGTTCCAAACTTAGGCTCTTTTATTATCAGAAACAGATTTCTTGTGCACACATCATAATAAGCAGGAAATGCCCATATATCAGGACACTGAAGTTGAGAACGTATGCTTTAGAAATGTTGAAACAACATGGTAGATGATGGATGTGAAGAACACCCAGGATAAAGAAACATTAATAAAGAAGATGATGAAAATGGAAGACATAATAGATGTTACTGAACAAGAAAGTAGAACAAATGAAAGAGAAGCAATATTTAAAACTGTAGTAGAAACAAGTTTCTATATCTGAAAAAATAGCTGATATTAGAAATCTTACTGAAGAATTCCCAAAACAGCTTCCAGAGCCAGGTGATTTTATTAATGAATGCTTTGACATTTCCAGGAAGCCAGGGCTACCTTGGTTTCACTCTGGAGGTAGTGATAGCAGAAGGGGTCTTTAGGTCTCAGCACTGTCACAAGATGGAAGTCCTAGACCCAGGTGCTCTGTCTCCTTTGCAGCACCATTTCCACTGACATATGTAAGCATAGGTCGCCTTTAAAAAATTGAAAGAACACCATACGCATTGTTCTGCATCTTGTAGCTTTTTACCTACCAATACATTTGGATGGTCATTCCATATCAGTACATGTAGATCTATTTCATTCTTTCTATTGGCTGATTGGTATTTAATTGTAAGGATGAAGCATACTTTTTTAATTACTATGTTCTTGATCAGCCTTGAGCTTGTTTCTGTGCCTTTGCTCGACAAGCCACTATTGCAGTGAACATTCTTATATACATATGTAAGGTATCTGCAACATAAATTATTCCTAATTACTAGGATATGTGCATTTTTCATTTGGTTGGAGAACACTTACGACCCCTAAAGCTTTATTCTACAGAGTAACATATATTTTAAAATGATTTTATTTATGAATCTTATGTTAAGCATTGTAAATAAAATCAGTTAATTTGGCAGTTCTTAAAAGACAGGCGTTAATTCTTTGCCATTTTGACCTAGAAATTCAGCCAACTGGGTCTCATTTTAGCTTGTTATTCTAATTAATTCAATCAGAACTAAAGTCCTAAATTTCTTTGAATTACACCATACGGTTCTATGATTGAAATAAAGTCACATGTGATTATCAACTTTGATATTTGATAGATTTCCTACTTTATACCTTTAACCACATCATGGCCCTAAAATGTACTACGTAGATACCCATCTCTCAATATGCCATCTTATTCTGACCTTATAGATAAGAATTCGGGATCCAAACCAGGGAGGGAAAGACATAACAGAGGAGATTATGTCTGGAGGTGGCAGCAGAAATCCTACTCCTCCCATAGGGAGACCCACTTCCACACCTACTCCTCCTCAGGTAAGACAGTGAGCCATGAGGGATGACACTGTGTATTTGTTCACTAACCTCTGCTGGGCTCTTCTTCTTTCTATAGCCACTCTCTGTACTTCCCATGTCCATCAGTTGTCTCATAGGCTCGAATATCTAAATGATATTTAAGCAGACATGTTCTTTCTCTTTACAAATTGTTAAAACTTCCAGATTTTTATTGGTAATATTTCTATGTATTGTCTCCACATTCAGAGCATAGCTGCTGCCACTCTTCCTAACGAACTATTGCATGATACCAAAAGGAGCTGCAGTTCCTATGGAAACCTCATCAATAATTGAGTATTTCATGTTTCAATATGGAGCCGTAGGAATTAAATGCTGCACGCTATGTTTGTGAAAACTTTAAGGTTGAAAACGTAAACATTGTTACTTAACAGTATTGTTTGGGGCAAGTGCCTGTGTAATTCAGAGCACAGTTAGATGTATTTTAGGTATACCTCTTACCTTTTAGGACTACATAAATGAGCTTTTTGATTAGAGGGTGTCTTCTTTAATTATTTACATGGGCTATTAGGAAATTCTGTCAGCTAAGCACCTTTTTTTCCCATTGCAGAATGTGGTTATCATGGTCTTCTAAAAGTTCACTTTCTTGCTTTTAGAAATCAAGATATTCCAGGAAGAACTGGAGTTTAGTAAACTGCTACAGGCTGGAAGTCCCCAAATTTGCCAGGATTTATATTTCATCAGTTGGTCACTTTAAATTTTGATAAGCCATTCAGAAGAGATGAGTGATTTTCAAAGCTTTAAAATACCTAAACTAAGAGCTCAGCGTATAAGACAGAGAAAACGAAAGTTACTAAGGAGTAGGGGTCTGCTTGCTTCCCCCTTTGTGGCTTGATGGTGAGGTATTCCTCAGGGCCCAGTTTATGAACAAGTGATAGGGATGATTAAATATCATTTTAGATTTTAGTCAACTATTGACTTGATTTTAGTAGCATAGGTTAAAAAAAGTTGTTAAAAATGTTCTTAAAAATTGAGATCACAGGGGCGCCTGGGTGGCTCAGATGGTTAAGCGTCTGCCTTCGGCTCAGGTCATGATCCCAGGGTCTGGAATCAAGCCCCGCATCGGGCTCCCTGCTTGGCGGGGAGCCTGCTTCTCCCTCTCCCTCTACTGTTACCCCTGCTTGTGCTCTCTCGCTCTTTCTATCAAATAAATAAATAAAATCTTTAAAAAAAAAATTGAGATCACAAATACATAGAGCCCTTGAAAATGTGTGGATTTATTTAATTTCCTCCCTGTAAGTGAACATGGGACAGGTAGTATTTACACATTGATGCTTTCTACTTATGTGCACAGTTAGATAAGGCCATACTACAGAAAAACCTGGAATCGGTTGATTAGGGCAGTTAAAATTTGATCTCTGTCTTCTCACATTAATTCAAATATTGTTACTTTCGGGTGCCTGGGTGGCTCAGTTGTTAAGCGTCTGCCTTCGGCTCAGGTCATGATCCCAGGGTCCTGGGATCGAGCCCTGCATCGGGCTCCCTGCTCCGCGGGAAGCCTGTTTCTCCCTCTTCCACTCCCCCTGCTTGTGTTCCCTCTCTCGCTGTGTCTCTTCTGTCAAATAAATAAAATCTTCAAAAAAAAAAAAAAATTGTTACTTTCAAGCTATATACTTGACAACCTTTTGTTAGTGTTTGAATTCTCAACTCGAATATGTCTTAGTATATCTTTTTGCATTTTAATTTCCTGTAGTTTGTTTTTCTTTAATATTACCAAGCTGGATAACCAAAAGTGGTTACCCTTAGCTACAGAAATCCTTTTGCTCTCTATTTTTCATCAGGGACTACAGGCCTGAATGAATACAAGTGTATGTGTTTGTGTAAACATAAAGCACGTTAAATGTATGCTTTTAATTGATAAAGGCCACCAGTCAATAATTATAATGTTGGCAATACTTCTTGATGTGTAGTATTGTCATGAAGCCTCAGTTTATTTTATTAGTTATTTTCACTCAAAACCACATTTATTAATGTGTAGCCTTTCCAAATACATGAAATTCATGGAATGCACACACAGCTTTTTAACAGAGACATACGTACTAGAAAGATTTCATTTTCCTCTTAAGAACAACCACATAAGCATGATGATGGCGGGTCACCTGGGTGGCTCAGTCGTTGAGCATCTGTCTTCAGCTCGGATCATGATCCCAGGATCCTGGGATCGAGCCCCGCATTGGGCTCCCTGCTCAGCAGGGCGTCTGCTTCTCCCTTTCCCACTCCCCCTGCTTGTGTTCCCTCTCTCGATAGCTCTCTCTCTCTCAAATAAATAAAACCTTAAAAAAAAAAAAGCATGATGATGGCAACTGATACTTGGCTTCAGTTTTGGAAATATATAGAGAGTTGTGCACATAGAGTGGGAGAGGACATCCCTGGTTAAAGTAGGCAGTTATTACTTCCTGATTGTTGTATTATGTAAAAATGTTGACCCAGTGTTTCAAAAGAAGCTAGAAATCTTTATTTACGTAAAAAATCTGCACATTTTAAATGTTGGCGGCTGATTCTACTAAGAAATAGCGCTATGCCAGCCTAAGAAAACCCATTGGGTTTATTCTAAAGATTGGTAGTTTGTAACTGTGGTCTAATTCGAGATAGATCCTGCACCACATTCTAGTTATTAAGACTGCAGATGAGACAACCCTCTGCTTTAGAATTTATGACTGAATAGTAAGTACTCTACTGCTTTTGACTTTATCATATATCTGCCTTAAGCCACAATTGCAGATGTCATGAATAGCAAAGCCTTTTCCTATCATTGAGGTTATCCCAGTCTCATTAAGTGAGACAGAGGACACTTATTAATATATGACTGGACCTCCTGTGGAGTGTAAACAAAGAAATATGAATGCACAGAAGTGACCAAGTGGGACAGAATGGCAGCACAGGCTTAAATGTCCTGCTTCCTGTTGGATCACAGAAACCTGTTCCTGGTGGTGCTGGGTGATAGTATTAGGGGAGGGATTTAAAAGCTTTGGCTCAGAACCAAACATACTTGGTTTCAAGTCCTAGATCTACCACTTAATTTTGTAAGTTTAGCCAAATTACTGAATTTTCCAGAGCCTTAATTTCCACATTAAAAAAAATGAGGAAAACAGGTTAGTTATTATACTATTAAATGAGAGTAAATACCTAAAATTGCTTGAGCTCAGGGCACAGTGAGCATTCAGTACACACTTCCTGTTACTAATATTTGCAGTTGTTGTTAGTGCAGGAGGCCCTGAACATGACTGGAAGATTCTGGGAAGGCTTCACAGCAGAAATGACATTTGGTCTGAGTTCCCACATTGGTATTCACACAATGAAAAGAGAGAGAAGGATATTCCAGGCAGAGGGGCAGGATGTGCAAGAAGGTGGCATGTGGAGATGGGAAACGGGATGAAGGGAAATGATTGTCATTTCATGTGACAGATTAGGGAGTTGGCTGAAGGGAGAGGAAACCAGTTAGAAGAATATATAACAGTTGGTTACTAAGTAAGGATTATAGAGTGACCTTGTAATTTATCATCTGAATTGGGGCAGTTTTAAAATGCCTTTGGGATGCTGTGAATCATTTTGCTGGGACAGCAGGCATAAACCAGTACTGTCCAGGTAAACAGGATGCATGGTTCCCCTAGGTGTAAAAGAGAACAGTCAGAGGTTGACTCTGGCAGCTTAGATACCTGGACTTTTAGTAAAACATAACATGGAGTATACATGGGGATGTTTGAAGAGGGGGATAAAGAGTTTCATTTTGTCAAGCATTCAAGATAAGAGTTAATTTAGGGAAACTGTAGTAGGTGTATATGAGAAGGGAGAGGAGAAACAAGCTTTGCTGCTACTGTTTTTGCCCTAAAGAGTAGATTGAATTTGAAATTGTCCTGCTTCCTAGGTTTTAAAATGATCTATGGAATAGCACCTGAAGATTTTATATCTCCAATATATAAAAAATACGTGCATGTGTATACATGTGCTCATTCAGGTGATCACAGTGCACTAAGAGCGGTGCATGTATAGACCTCTTCGAGTACTAGAACACTTTCTACAGGTCTATAGATCTCTGTCACTTAGATTTATGACCTTAAGTCAGAACATTAAGTCCTTTCAACTCCTACTTTTTCGTCAGTAAAATGAGGGATTGTAGTAAGTAAGCTCCGGGTTCCCTTTTAGCTTTTAAATGTTAAAGTGGGAAAGAAGGGGTATGTTTTTGTTACTTTCCCTCAGCATCACAATCTCTCAGCTATGTCTCTGTTGTTGATAGCAGTAAGGCACGAGGAACATTTCTGTATTAAGAAATGTGCTAGATGCCTGGAAGTTTTTATGGGACCCCTTAGGATAAAAATAAATACATGATGCTGTATAGGCAAGGCTTCCAGAATTGTCTACTTCCAAAGGCTGAGGTGGTGAACCAAAAATCACTGTTTTTTAAATGAACTACTTTATATATCTTCCTCTCCTACTACCTTTGTTCTTTTTTCTGTTTTAAAAATTACTCTTTAAAAAAAATTACTCTTATAGTGAAGTACTGTTACAACGTGTGAGAGTCCTGTGCCACAGGGTATAGGAGCAGAGAAAAGGTTGGAAACTATGGATCGATGGAATATCTTAGGAAAGATAAAGCCTCCCTTGTCATTTGGGAAAATTGCCAAAGTCAGCAAGTCATTCAGTTTTTGAAGAGCTTATTAACTTGGTAACTGGAAACCTTAAATTCTGACCATTTGTTAATGAGTTTTATAGTTTTACCAATAATAGTTAAGTTAGGTTCTGAAGCTTAGACAATGATACAAGTAATTGTACAGTATAAGTACGTAGGTTCCTACATAAAGAATTTGAAGGAGGGGCACGTGGGTGGCTCGGTCGGTTAAGTGTCTGCCTTTGGCTCAGGTCATGATCCCAGGGTCCTGGGATCGAGCCCCACATGGGGCTCCCTGCTTGTTGGGGAGTTTGCTTCTCCCTCATCCTCTACTGTTCCTCCCTGCTCTCTCCCTCTA